AGATCCACCATCTGTGACCCAAGAGCTTTCCCAGTCTTGTTGCTCATCTCCCTCTGAAATAAGGTCAGTGCAGCCACTGCTGCCTTGGGGAAACGTAGCTTCTCCGAAAGTCATTCAGCTCAGGATGCGTCATCAGTGGTTGCCAGTGGGTGACCATCCTTCAGCTGCCTCCTGGTCATATCTTCCCCCTTCCTGAGCTGGGGGCTGGCCAAATGCTTTAAACCACAAATCCTCAAACTTTACTGGCCTGTTAACAAGCCGAGGGTTTCAGGCATGGTTGTACTTTGCTCTCCCTCTTCGCCTCCCGCTTAACCTTTTCATCTCCTGATGCAACAGCTTCCTTGACGGCAAGCTGTGCGTTGCAGTTGGGTGAAGGTGCTTTTCTCTGGACAAATCTCACCTTTTTATGGTAATCTCCAAGCAGACCTTTGCCAACCCCAGACAAGATGGCATGAGGTCTGCTGGGAGGCTGGCAGACCTTGGGAAAATACATTTTTGACAAGTGAAAATAGGATGAGCGAGGTAAATTCTGAAGATCTTTATCAAATTTGGGGTTCACCTGTATTTTATCAAAATTGCTTCTTCATTCTGAGAACTTCAAGCTACAGTCTTAAAGCTTTGCCTTTTTTGTCATTTTCTTTTAAAGAGACAAGCAGTTTGATGTGGGTTTGATTTCTTGTTTTCAATAAGCAACTATTTGATACAAGGCCTTTGAAGTACTGGGATGAGAGCATAAAAATGGTTGAAGTAGACAACAATTTATTAAAATATGTAGTTTGTTGTATTGATTTGCAGTTTAGCACTTCATCTTTCCAATTCTTTGGATGTCAAAATAAGCTTACAAATATAGCATCTTTTTTGTGTCTATCATATTATTCTCAAGACATGATTTTTCTTTTAATTTTGTTTTGTTTGTGGGGTCAGAATCCAGTGATTTACCCAGTGAGAAAAAGATTTTCATGTGTGATTACCTCCTCTTTATTTGTGCATTTATGAATCCTTTTTTCAGAAATTCTTGTATAGCTGCTAATGCTGCTCGAATTGCCATGGTTTTTAAAGAGAATAATGCTTATTGATAGTTCCCACATGCACTGGCAGGCACATCTAAAACCTGTACTTTTGTGTTCACAGCTTGCATAATATAAAATTTAGAGATTGCTTGTCAAAGTAAGTGTCAGCTGAGTTTCCTAGGAAACTCACTGAAGATATTTATAAAACTACAGATCAGCTTAATAATAGATATAATAATGTCAGTAGCTCGTGATTGGGTTTTTTAACTTTATCAGTCCATTTTTCTTTGCTTTAATTTGTTGGCAAACCAAAGCACTGCATTTCCAAACAGAGCAGTGAAGACCTTCCTTCCAGTATCTTGCCTGATTTATTTGATATTTTAAAAAAGTAGTTTGTGCTGTTCCATGTAAGGAAATGTAAAACACCCTACTGTAAAATTAAGAAGAACCTAGATGTTGCACTAGTTATCAGACTGAACCCTTTATAAATAAAACAATTGTGATGCAGAAATATAAATATTATATGTCATAGTTTTATTCAGCATTGAGTTTGAATGTATGAGTTTAGAGTTCATTGCACATGCATGCAAAGCAGTCACTGCAGAATTAACATAAATCCTGAGTACGGGCTTCTATAGAAGCTGCATAAATAGAAGACCTGTCAGTTTTGTAAAAAGGCATAATTCTGTGCAATTAATTTTATCTCTGAGCTGAAAAAACAGGATCTAAAAAGAGAGAAGTGATGCTGGTGTCCATTTTTATTCATTTTTCTGCTATTGTGTTTTCCTTACACTGATTCTTTGAGTGGAGACATGAGCATTGCCACAGTTGGGAGGTACCTTCATACTTCAAGCACTTTAAATTGAAATTTTAGTCATGTAAATTTAAAATTTGCTGGTGTGTATATGTATAAATGACCATATATTATGCCAGAATGTAATTATTAGAGGCATTTTAGATTAGCAGAAATTAACATTCTTTAGAAAGCAATTTAGAAAAGTGAGTCTAGTTTCCCTGTTTCAGTACAATAATGAGAATGAGGCTAGCGTGTTTCGTAATGAGACAGTACTGTCTCCTTATCTCATCTGGAATCCATTACTTGTGCCCACTATATACATTTGCTTGTCAAATATATATTATACTTTGCTAATTAGTCAAGTAAGGAGCTTATATGAAGGATATTAAAGAACTTACTTTCTTTTAAAAAGTAAGAGTATAACTTTCTGCGTTTCAGAGATCTCAGTGAGATCTCAGTGCACGTTTAATGTAGTTGCAAAAGAAATTTTAGGAAGCCTGTCCATCACACACTGAAAAGGTTAGTTTTCTGTAAAACTACAAAATTTAGCCAAATCTTAATAGTAGTTCCATGTTGATTGATTGGATTCTAGTGATATCATTGGATACAGCAGGGTGACAGGTAAAACCTCGGTGCAAATCATTGCATTGATTTTAATAGAGATCTCATGCGACCAGCAGCCTTACAAGCATAAAAAGTTACAGCCATTATGTCAAGTGATGTTTTTTAAGCACATGGTATTTGTCAGAGCTCACTCTCGTTTGACTGCGCTGTTGCAGTTTAGCGTATTTGAAACAAACCCTTTTACTGGTGGAAGGCTGGTGATTTCTAAGTGGAAAATTACTTGGGATGATACGTAGGGTATCTAATTAGGAGACTTCTCTCATTCCCAACCCTGCCATGGATTATTTGTTGTGTAATTCTGCATTACTCGCTCATCTGTTCCTAACCGTAATTTGCCTGTTTGGAAAACGCAAATTCTAACGACCAATAACCTTCCTGAAGTGCTTGTTGCGTAGGTAAGAGAGATACAAGTTAGTGCTAAATACCATGTTTAATAATTTTGGATAAATTCTGCCAACATGACCTTGGTATTGGGGAGTCAAGATTTATCAGCTCTGATTTATATATCAGCTCCAGAAGGAATGCTTCTGCAAGAGAAACACCAATTCATGCTGTCTTCTGAGGTTTGTGATGGAGTCATATTTGTGCACAAACACTCGCTTCTGTCCACAGTCTTAACCAGAGCCCTTTTCTGTGTCAGCCATAATTGAGGAGCTTTTTCTCCCCTTACTTCTCTTGTGTTTATCACTCCTGAGCTCTGCAAGTGATTGCACTGCCCACAGCTCTGCTAGCTCACCCTCAGAGTCGTGGATCAACCTTTAAAAGTAGCTGTTGCTGGGCTTGTCAGATCAAACCCTAAAGAAACTGGACAGAAAACTTTGAAACAGACTTGGAAATACAGGAGTGCTGCCTGAGCAGCCATGTTAGCAAAAATTACTCCTCATTTAGGAAGAGATTCAGCTTGGAGGCATTTTTGGTTTGTTTTTTGGGTTTTTCTGCCTTCTTTTTTCATCTCATGTGCTGCAAGTGTGAGATGTGCATTGTGTTAATGATAGGTGCACCATTTAAAAATACATTGCTCTGCTCCGGGATCTGTATTAACTCCTGGGGTAACTGAAGTTAAGCTTTGCTTAATCAATATTCTCAAGGTGATGAAAATCATCTGACCAAAAGGTTCAGTCTGAATACGGTTGCTTTTTCATGGTGACTGCAGCTGACTAGAAAGATATAGTTTTATATCTTTTATGTAAGTTTATGGTGGCTTTTGGTGGAGGAGGAGGTTTTGTGAAAAGGTTATTTGTTCAGGATAGTTTTGTTAGCAGACACCCATCATGTTGCACTAAATGGTGATTTTTTAAACAATATGCTTAGCCGTCACACCTTGATCCTCCAGAAAGAAAAGCTGGATAATCTAACTGTAGATACTGCATTTTGCTTCCCTTTTACAACAATGGAGGTTCAAACAGGAAAAATAGTAAATATATATGTAGTGTATTTTCTTTTCCTTTCAGTTTGTATCCGTGAGAAAGTGCTATGAGAATTATAAACAGGCTTTTAGGGGTGTATTTTTTCAACTGGTCAGTGTGTGTGACCCCAGTGTTAACAGTGAGTCATGTTGCAAGTCAAGAGTTCACTGGCTTTTCAACTTTCCCACTGCAATTAAGTAGATTCCATGTGCACACCCAAGTAAAATTGAGAAAAAATTGCCAGTTGATAAGGAAATCTTGATAATATTGGAGGAAGATGAGTCAGCCAGTGGGATATTCACAGCCAAATAACAATGCAGAAACTCAAGAAGGCTTCCAAGTCATACAGGCAGTCCGGGAAAAATGAGCCAGCTGGGCTCACATGAAATCTAAGAAATTGGTGAAAGCGAGAGAGGAGAACCTGCCTATTTTAGCTATAAAATCACATGTTTATGTCCTTAATACCGCTGTTCTAACATGTTCTAGAAAAGAATTAAAGATTTTTTAAATAATCGGAGAATGTGGTGCCAACTTTTTTTCTGGTTACCTTTTCTGCTGCCCTTCCCTGCAGTTGTTATCGTTTCCCCTTGTGCGTCTCACTGGATTGTGACCACATGAAGAGTCAGATTGGTGAACCTCGGCTTCCCATCACCTTTGCTTTCCTCTTCCGCTTCAGTTGCAGTGTTCAAGGACAACGTGTCAGTCCAAAGCTATCTGTATATATTAACAAGCATTTCTGCTAACATTAGTGAGACCATAGTTAACATAACTTTATGCTAGATTAGCATTATGCTAAACAAAGGCAACCCTTCGCTCCATTTCCTTTTTTAAACCCCCAAACCTTTTTATGGCTAAACAACCACATAATGTTATGACACGTGGTTAGTCTTAGGATTTTTTAGTAGACTTCACAAAATTGTAACATTTAACTGGTACTGCATAATGGAAAGTGTGGAAGTGCTGTATTGAAACGAAGTTTGAGTAAAAAGTTGTTTGGCTTGTTAAATGTAACCTCAGTCAAAGTAAGTAAATCACCAGACTCATACCTTTACCGTTGGACTTGTGTTTTACTTTGCAGCAGGAGTCTCAACCAGAAAAGGTAGTGAAAAGTGTTATACTAGATGGTATTTTACATATCTAAGTGCATGTTTATTTTTCTTCTAGCTTTTTAGAAAGAATTGACAGCGTCAGCATGGATGACTACACACCCACAGATCAGGTTAGTATAGCTAATGGGGTAGGGCCTGAACCAAGACGCTCATTCATATGAATTCTTTATGTAATTTATTTTAGCAGCTGAAATAGGGCATATCACATGATATCAAAATACAGTCTAGCAGTTTAAGTAATGGTTATTAAATAAGAGAAGGCTTTTTGGTCATGCAGGCTTGTCTTTTACTGTTACTATATGTAGGTCGGTGATTCCTGTAACACATCTGTTATTTCTTCTTACTTTCCATTCTGTGTCCCGCAAACAAAATTGAGGGAACAGAAAACAAATGCAAAAGCCTATGGTTTCCATCACCAGTCTTCACTACACAGCAGTGTTTTATTTCAATTGTGGAGGTGATGGAAACCCAGAGGGACGCTTCCCATGTCCATCAGATGGGTCCTTCAGAGGCAGAAGCCTGCCAAGGGTCCAGTGTCCAAATTCAGGGGACAGCACCAGCAACAGATGCAGACCTTGTGGACTTCTCTGCGGGCATGCAACCACCTTTCCAGCCTGTGCACATCTCCAGTGGGCTGGATAGCTTGTATTTAAGCACTATTTGCAGGACAGTACACTTTTTTCCCAGTTATCACAATACACCTTGATAGTGTGCTTTAATGACAAACTCATTAGGAAAGTTAAGGCTGCTATGGTGTGGCCTTGAAGTAAGAAAGGGCTTCACCATGGTGCATGGCTTTGACTGCCTTTCCTGCACTCAGGCTGTGTGGTTTCTTTGGACGGGTTGTCTCCTCAGCAGACTGATTCTGAAGTTGTTATTTTTTGGGGCTGCTATCCCACTGTCATCTAGTAGACTCAGCCAAGATTGTGGGCCAGACTGCAAATACAGGTGGCAGAAGAGAATCCCTGCACTGGATAATTCAGTCTAACCATGCAAGGTGTCTAACAGGTGGATGGTCTTTAAAAAAGTACAGTTGCCAAATCTCATTGTGCAGCCAGGGACTGAAATTCAGCAAAATAAGGTTACTTACCAGAGATCACACAAGGAAGTATGCGGAGCAGAGCCTGTTCCTTCAGACCCTGTTCAGGGCTATAACCACAAGCCTGACCATTTACTCTGACCGTATCCTGAAACAGAAGGCATTAAAAAGTAGTTTGTATTGTATTATAAGGTGAAACATGTGTAGTTGACCCAATATAGGATCAATTATTAAAGTTCTCAAGACATTTTCCGAGTGAGTAACACTGGGATTTGCTCTGTGTAGACCCCGTGATCTGATTTTAGCATCGATACCACTCAGCTGGAAAGTAAAGTCGATGAAGCAAAGCCTCATATTTGCTTTCATTATTTATATTAGTGTTGGCTTGTTTGTTCCTGGGAGGCCTTTCTCTACCTGGAGCAGTCAGTCATCATCTAGAAATTTTTCCTGATGTTTCCTTTGGGAAGAAATGCCATGTTTCTCCAAAGATCGGAAG